TTCTTTTTTTTTTTTTTTTTTTTTTTCCCCTGGCAAGGGGTTTTCTCCGCCAACCTCAAACAACCACAAAAGGATCTACATCTTTATTTTTCCTAAGTGAAGCAGAAATATTTCATTGGGACTGTGATGGGTGGAATGCCTGGGGAATCTGGTGTGGGTAGTCTGAATCAGGGGAGAAGTCAATGAAACGCAGGAGGATATTGAAGCGCCTTAGTGCAAGCCCTGTTTCCCAACATGTGTGCACATTGCTGTCTGAGTTTGTAGGAAATCATCCCACATGGAGCCTCACATCCAGTAGCAAGGGGGGAAAAAATGTGAGCAGATTGCTCAATGCTGCCTGTAGGCCAATTAGAAGGGCAAAAAATCAGAGATCCCTTACCGCAGTATGCTTGGCAGAAGCCCAGCCCTGCCCATGGTGACAGCCCCTGCAGGGACGAGAAGAGCATCCCCTCTCCCCACCCTGCTTGGGGAAGGTCCAGGCATGGGCTGGGCATGGTACCTACTCCCTGCCAAGGTCCCCGTGAAACACTCATGTGGCAATCACTGCTGACAGCACTGCAGTTACAGAGACTCTGGCCCAAACAGAAAACGACGTGTGTGTTTTCCAGTGCTAATCAGGGCTGCTCACGAGGCAGGAGTGGAGGGGAAAATGAACATTTCCATGGGAACTTTTTCAATTGCTTCATTTTAGGGTCAATGCATGAGTATTGGTTCTTCTTTTCCTTACCCTGGCCCCAACGGTGCGATAGTGTCGTGCCAGCGAAGAGGGGCTGTCTGAAAGTGAATGGCAGCAAGTAAAGAAGCAGGTAGGTCAGATGCCCTGCTCAGTACTTAGAGTTTGTCACCCAAGGCCTTTGCCTCATGTCTCCATCCCTGCCAGTGGTTCAAAGCGACTTGGGGTATGTCCGACCTGCTTGTGATGGATCCCAGCTGCGTGGAGCGGCGTAAAGGCGGCAGAGCCTTTTCCTACAAAAAAAGTGTCAATGCTCGCATTGATTTTGAACCCCAAGGACCTTTGCCTACAAATCCTCTCAGCTTCCTTGCCACCTCCATAGCCTATCAACAAATCAACTTCATTTTCTTTCACAGACCACTATGTTTCCCACGTCTTCCTTTGGCACAAGGAAAAAACAGTCACAGAGGCTGAGCTGGAGACATGGCAGCACCCACAGCTATGAGTGAGGAAAATGCTGCTTGTTTTCACTCACTACCTGAAGCATGACAGCCTGTTACACAAAATCAGCAGGA